CGGAGGTCCAAGCTTGTCAATTTGAAATATGCAAAATATATATACTTCATAATCACATCATGTGACTGACATATTGAATAAATTTTAAAAAACGGACCTTCTACATCGAAAATTTTTATTTCAATGGTTAAGGCATCTACAAAAACACATATTTTGACACCATTTTCATGAAAATCGAAGATGTGTATGATAATTTAGAGTTATTTTCATTTTGCTTGATTTTTCAATGGCGTCCATTTTTAATTTATGCAAATTAGAGTGAAATTATGCAGATAGAGCTTGTGTCCGTTTATCAAAGTTCTTAGTTTTGTTCAAGGTACGTGTGTGCCAAGTGGCATGTTCCTACTAAAATTTGCAGTGGGGGTTGAGTTAGGGAGCCCACTACTCTTGTCTGGGACCACAAGGCATATGATTATGAAGGGGAAAGAGTAGGCCTAAATCAATGCGTTAAGAGTAAGAAAAATGAAGATTATTTGAGCCTGCATACAAATACAATTCAGTTCTTTTACTTTGTACATATTATCATTATTATGTGTACATTTTGTTTGGGTAGGGGGGATTATTGTTGGCATTTCACGACCCTATTGACACACTGTAGATCTTTTAGGAGATCGGCTGCTTCAGCCCTGCCTATCGGAACCAACCTGGGCTGAGAAGGATATTGCATCCCAGCAGAAAGATGGAGATGATAGACCACTCGGTAAAATTAAAATTTATTCTCCTTAGTCAGGAATCGAAGTCATGTCCTCCGAGTGTGACAGAGAGGCATAACTGCCACCTGTACATGTAGTAACTTAGTGTTATTGTATTATATTATATTATGGTTGTGAATTTTGTATGTGATGTCGGCCGTGAGGACTTATTACAATAGAAGTGTTGGCTTTTACTTTTGTGATACTGGTATCACTGACATGATACTGCTATGTTACGCCTATAGAGCTGTGACTAAGTAGACACTGATCAAAGTGTAACAACACGGTGCTGGGGTCTTCACTTGATATTCTTTAGAGAGTTCAGCCTGGTTTCAGAAGAGGGGCAGTCGAGAACCAGAGGAAGAGTTAAGTAGACAAATAGAAAGAGGGAAGGAGAGCAAGATGGAGAGATGAAGAGAAGCAGAGAGAGACATAGATAGACAAGACATTGAGAGCGACACTGGAGATCAGAGAGAGAAAGAGTGAGACTAGATAGATGGAGAGAAACTCAAGAGAGAGAGAAAGAGAGAGTAGAAGTGGAAGATAGACAAGACGTGGATACTCGGAGAGAGAGAGAGAGGG